TTGCAATTCATGTAAAATCAGTGATAAAATGCTAAACAATTGTCAAATCATTACTAAATCTGATGATTATTTACACTGTTTTTGGCCTAAATGTCAATACAAGACAACAACCAAACAACTGATAACTCGACATCAATTAATTCATTCATCAATAAAACCATTTAAATGTTATTTTAATAATTGTAATAAACGTTATAGGAGGAAAGAAACATTAATTCGACACAAAAACAAAATTCATGTTAATAAACAATTTATTTGTAATATTAATAAATGTGGTAAAGATTGTAATTCGAAACAATCATTGATTAACCACAAGAATAATCATTTAATTGACAGCAAAAATAATAATTATTTTTACTGTTTTTGGCCTAAATGTCAATACAAGGCAACAAACAAACAAAGGTTAACTCAACACAATTTAATTCATTCAAAAATAAAACAATTTAAATGCGATTTTAATAATTGTAATAAAAGTTATAAATTAAAACATGATCTTCAAACTCACATAAATAATATTCATTTAAATGTGAGATTTATTTGTGATTTCAATGAATGCCACAAAAGTTTTAATACTAAATCAAATCTAATTCAACACAAAAGTTGTGTTCATTTGAATGAAAAGAAATTCAAATGTAATAAAAAAAATTGTGGCAAAAAATTCAGTTCAAAATCAAATCTTATTGTTCATAAACGCATACATTCGGGAGAAAAACCATTTGTTTGTCATTTCAATGATTGTAACAAAAGTTTTATACGAAAAGCCCATCTCAAAGGTCATACTAAAAGACATAACAACATTAAATAGCCGTAAAATATTATTAATAAGATTTGAATTAACACAACATATAAATAATAAACATTTAAATTTAAGGCCATCTCACCAAATTCTATAATCTAATTGTTCACAAACGCATTCATTCGGGAGAAACACTATTTTATTGTCATTTCAATGATTGCACCAAAAGTTTTACACAAAAATCTCATCTAAAAGATCACATCAAAAGACATATGAATATAAAAAGTTATAAATGTATTCATAATAATTGTGGTAAAATGTTTGCCACAAATAGAGACTTAAAATCACATGGTAGTAGAGTGCATAAATTAAATAAATTGAAATACAATTAACCATGACATTTTTAAATGGTATCAACATTTAATTAAGTATAATTTAAAATTTTGTAATTATTGTAATCTTAAAAATATTGCATTTAAAAACTCGTTTAAATAAAATTATATTTATTAAAACATTATTAATTGTAATTAATTATAATAATCACTCCATAATCCGTCGCATGTCTTCGCAAATAAATTATCCAAAATATGCCATAATTTGTTTGGATTTAATTCAATCACTTTTGGCACTAAATCTCCACTTTTATTGCCTATAAGTTTAGGCCATTTAGGGTTCGGTCGGCTAATGTATGGACAAAATTTTAAAAAATATTAATCAAAACATAATAAATAATATAAAATCACAAAAATCTGACCCATATTTAGCGAAATCTGTCCACAATTTCATTACTTGAATACTAAATTGTGTATCAATTGCTGTATCAGTGATTGTCGGATACAAAAGCGGTGCACCGAATACATAGTCAATGTCCGCAAAGTGTGTCACACCATAAAGTTTTTCATCTAAAAATGATTTGCGTTGATATGTCTGCTCATAGAAATACACACCACCGGCGCCTCCCAACTGGCCATAGGCTTTGGCAAACCTATAGGTCGGACACGTAGTCATTAGGTCACCAAACATGTCATATTCAGCCCATTTTAATGCATCGGAACTGTTTTTATCAATAGATTTTAGGTAGAAATCTGTCACTAGTTTTTCATCGAAATTATGGTAAAACGCGTCAATAATTGTCACAAATTCATTAAAATCCTTTTCAGTTAGATTTGGTTTTACTAAACTCTGGCTTTGAATTGAGCCCTCATTTCGCATAACACCGGCCATTATATCTAAATCTAAGTGTTTAGAAATAGCATGATTAATTTAAAATAATCAAGCTAAATCTGTTAATGATTTATTATACGATTATAAAATGCAAACCTTTATTAAATAACTGATTTTCAAACATATTCTGTGCATTCATTGGTAGAAATTCAGTGTCCGATAGGGCAGAGAGTTGGCGTCTGGTGTCGTACCCGTCCATCAGCTCCTGAGCCTCAAAACTGCGCAAACAGTCCAACCAATTGTCCTCTTCTTCTTCACTACAATTCATATTTTTGGCCAATTGTTTGCTAACGAGTAATGCCTCGGACTTTACCATAGGATACCTGTGCTTATTGTAAAACAGTGCCCCGCTTTGCATAATAGCCCTCTTGAATAGGCCTTTAGATAACGGCGATATAATATGTGCGGACACAGACTTACTGCCGGCGCTCTCACCAAAAATGGTGATCTGATCCCTATCTCCGCCAAACAAATGTATGTTTTCTCTAACCTATTATTATGTCATTAATTCATATATAAATATTATTTAATTAGTTTTATAAATAAAAATATATAACTAAACACAATTAATTAGTACCCATTTGAGTGCCAACAACTGGTCATAAAAGCCGACATTTCCGGGCGCGTCCTCCCGATCCCCGTATAGGAAACCAAACGGTCCTAACCTATAGTTGACGGACACAACCACCACATCATTGGTGGCCAAAAGGCTAGCGTTGTATTGTTGCTGAAATGCTGAGCCGACAATCAAACCGCCGCCATATATCCAAAACATGACCGGTTTTAGGGGCGCTTTTAGTGGATAATCGGTGCGGACAGTAGGGGTCCATACGTTAAGCACCAGACAGTCCTCGCTTTTGGTGATATTTCCCATGCGATCAAATTCAAGCTCTTTAATAAATTTTTGTACACATGAATTGCCCGGTGCTCTGCCATCGATGTATGGCTACAGTAGATTAATTAATTTAATATTAAATAATTATACATTATAACCAAGTAATAAGCGGTTCACAGATATTATTTGTATTAGTTTTTGTAAAAATTATTTATTTACCTTAATTGTTTGTCTGAGTGGCACCGGTTTGGCAAACCTGAGTACCCCTACCGGGGGTTCGGCATAAGGTATGGCCAAAAATTGGTCAACACTTGTGTTCAACACATCGAGAGTTAGACCTTTAACTACACCAGAAGTTGTGTTCACTTCAACACAAACCGTGTATTCAATACTTATTATAAAAAATAATAAATGTTTCAATGAATTCATATTTTTAACAATAGTTTCAAAATATAATAATATTATACATTTAGTTTATATGGGTTATATAAAAATAGATATAAAATATAGGTCGACCATGGTAATTAATCTATTAAGTGCAAATTACAAAATTATTGACATTTACTGACTGAATAACATTTAATACAAATTGATTTAATAGATAGATGATACAAGTGTAATATCGGTACTAATAATACCATCAAGTAGAACTTTTAAATATTTATACCTTATTTACAATAATTAATGTGTAAAGCATTGACTTTTAGGTGACAAAAACCAGTCTTAAAGTCACTATAAAAGTTACTTAAAAATGGCTAAAAAGGTGCTAAAAAGGTGCTAAAAAGTTAAGAAAAAGTTATATATTTTGCATCAAAATAATACATTCAAAGGTCAATAACATTCGTTTTTGAATTAAATTGTATTACAAAGTATTTTTAGAGGTTTTCGGTTTCGAAACTCATTCGTCTACCGTTTAACAACTGTTTATGAGTCGAAAGACGTTTAATGATATGCCGATTATGACTAAAAGCTATTATTTAAAAAAATTAATATCACATTACACCTGTTTTCAATTTCGACTTATTGAATATTTTGTGATTTATCAATAAATGGCATATAGTCGAAAAGTTACTTAAAAGTTACTAAAGGTGCTAACGTCCCAAAAGGTGCTAAAAAGGTGAAATAAAAATCTTCCAAAATACTC